GGAGAACGGACGAAAATCGGTGCGCGCGCAGGATGTCATCCATAAAATTAAAAAAGTGTGGCCTTAGTACGGGTGATTTAGTTTGTAAATTGTTTCATTTGTACCTATTTACTTTTGTAATTTTGTCCTTCCAGATGAACCATTCGGGATTTACAGCTTGACGGACTCTTTCATGTCCAGTTTTAACGCCGCTGTGGAATTCTGGAAGGAAGCTCTTATTGGCACTTGTGGTGAGTAATCATTTGTACTAGTATTCCAACGTATTATACTAGAAAATATCTTACACACAGAAATAGATCGTTTTGATGATTTTGGTGGTTTTCCAGTAACTTTTCTTTTTGCAATATGTCGAACATTGCACACAGTATTTACCCACAATACGGTCTCAAGTTGTATTTTTAAATGTCGAGAAAACTGTCTTTAGTTGAATCCTTTCTACTATCACTCCCAGTTCACGGCATATTCCTTTTGCAAATGATGACAGTTAGTACGGGTGATTTAGTTTGTAAATTGTTTCATTTGTACCTATTTACTATTGGAATTTTGTCCTTCCAGATGAACCATTCGGGATTTACAGCTTGACGGACTCTTTCATGTCCAGTTTTAACGCCACTGTGGAATTCTGGAAGGAAGCTCTTATTGGCACTTGTGGTGAGTAATCATTTGTACTAGTATTCCAACGTATTATACTAGAAAATATCTTACACACAGAAATGGATCGTTTTGATGATTTTGGTGGTTTTCCAGTAACTTTTCTTTTTGCAACATGTCGAACATTGCACACAGTATTTACCCACAATACGCAATAGTCAATTAGCAATAGCAGTTGACTGCACATTGTTATAAAATATACCATCTAAAATATTGCTTTGAAACGCTTTCATCATAACTTGGTTGAATTTGGTAAATGATTAATTTGTATTTGACTCTCTGTATTAATCTTGCTACTTCTTTTTTACCTTATATACTTAACAAAGTTGATCTGCTCGTCCATTCCCTTGCTATTTCTAGGAAATAATCAATTTGGACCCTCTGAAGACCTTAGTGTTAGGTCCACCAGACAACGTGTACGTGGCAAATACGTGATCAGGTGCCAGAAAAGACTCGAGCCACGCGCAGCGTATACTGGGGACCTCCTGCATACTGCCGCCAAATGTTGGAACAACTCACGTGATGCAATAGACCATGACGCTACCAAAACCTGTGTAAACAGCGGTGGGCGCTTTAATCTGTTCTCTTGTCTGTCTTTGCGGGGTTTACTTCGCAAAAAATAAAAAAATAAAATAAATAAATAAATGAATAAATAAATAAATAAAGAAAATAAAAATAAATAAATAAATAAATAAATGCAAATTTAGTGTGCTCTACATTTGCCACGCATTCGATCAGTTGTTATAATAGTCTGTTTACTGACAAAGAAATATTATAATGATTTTATTATATTATATATGATATTGTATGTAAACGATTACATTTTCTGACTTTTTAGCATTATTATTATTAT